TCCCGCACAATTATGATCACATCCGTTATTTATTAAAAACATAAAGGGTAGTATAAGATTTTTTTTAAAAAAAATAAAGGGGGTTATAAAAAATTTTGAAAAAGTTAGGGGGGGTCATGGTCCTCCTTGGCCTATTCTTAGTTCCATCACTAACCCTGCACACAATTATCGAGCGTCTCTACCTTCAGATAGTGACTTCAAGAAGGACGCTGTCAAAAGCTCAAATGAGGATCGGGAGGATCCCGACGATGTATCATTAGGAAACTATCTCCCTCGCGATGACACCCAACAAGATAATGCATACCGAGAAGCTTTCCCACATACTGATGGGGAAATCTCTACCTCCATGAAGCTTGTCCAGTCCCTCTAGGAGCAATTGGATGCCCATGATGCTATGTTAAAAAGGTCCTAGGAAAGAGAGGAAAAGCTTTTGGCAAGAGAACTGAAAAGTCTGATCACCAGATAACCAGAGTTAATGGCGAGCCTTCCGTGCCGAACATAGCTCTAGCCCCGACAGGCACAAGGGGGATGAAGAGAGAAAAAAATATGCCAAGAAGATACCTAGAGGCGCTCTATAACGAATAAGATTTGATAACAGATTAAGGCGCCCCAAATAGAAATCTCCTAGGGAGCTGGCAAGGAAAGCTGCTAGAAAGTACTCTGAGGAAATGGAGGTGCCCCCTTCTCAAGATGGATAGAGGAGAGAATCCCGAGAAAATTCATGGTGCCCAAACTCTATGATGAAAAGACTGATCCGACTGCCCACATCCGTCACTACTAGCAACTAGGCAACTAATCGTGGTCCACAAGAAGAACGAAGTGCTAATGTGCACAATGTTCCTCCGCAGTTTAGGAGAATCAACCATGAAGTGGTATGATAGTCTCCCTAGGAGCTCTATATCGACAATTGGGTGTAATTGGCGGAGCAATTCACAGCGCGGTTTACCCGAAGGATATCAGGGCATTGTTCTCCACGAAAAAAAATAAAAAGCACGGCGAGATACTGAGCAAGTATTCTCATCATTACTGAGAAACAATGACTGAAATAGAGAACTATAACTCAATAGCTGTTGCATCATTCAAGATTGAACTTCCAAAAGAGAACTAGTTGTACCAGTCATTGACTAGTTGACCAGCTCTCGATGTAGAAGAATTGCTGGCCATAGTCAAAAAGTATGCAAAGATTGATCATGAGCTGGACAAATGGCCAATTGAACTTTCAGCACTGCTTCATTATCTCTCCACTACTACTGCCAATTAAGAGGTCTATGTTGACCATTGCAACGACGAAGTCCATCCTAAAAAGGCCTGTTACGAGCATAGGACTCACCAAGTGTGTTAGCCATTGTTGTAGGGCTCTTGATCCGAGTAGAGATGCTGGCAGTGACTCACCAAGTTTGCGATGTAGCAATTGTCGAAATGGTTTGTAGTTTGTACGTTAAGCGAGGCTAATACTCGGTCAATGCCCGAGCGAGGATTTGGCCATTTACGATACAACTGTCCCTTGGCAGCAAGAAATTATTTGGGAGAGGTTGACAAAGGGAGTCAGGATTAGTCCATTTACGACACTCAAACTTGTGTTTCTTCGGTTCCGCCGCCCAAGCGGCACCCCGTAGAGGTAACGAGCTTCACTCTACTTTTCAACCTTGTGATTGAAAACTACCCAGAAATATTTACTTCTGTATGAAAATCGAAAATTCCAATAATCAAACGGTTTTAGCTACGGTAACGCTTTTCCCAAGCAACCTTTTTTAAGCAAAAAAGTAATTTCGTCAAAAAAATAAAACACATATTTAATTACTATGTTGCAAAAGGGTCAAGATATATTTTAGTACATTGATTATACTCTTCATATACGTGTATTATAAATTGTTATATAATGTGATTATGACTAAAAAGAAGTCAGTCTGCCCCAACTAGGAAAAAGCACGAAAAGTAAAATTGAAAAAAAAAAAAAAAGTTTAAAATTATAGTTAATCCCTAAACTTTACTTTTGGTTTTAGTTTTATCGTGAACTTTCAATTGTCTCAATTTAATCCCTCAACTATCAATTTTTTCTATTTAAGTCCGTGAATCAATTTTCACCGTTCAATCAACTAAAGACTAGCCCAATTTGATCCATTTCAGCATTTATCCATCAGTAGAACTGTCTCAATCAAGTTGATAGTTGAGAGACAAAATTAGGACAATTGAAAGTTTAGGGATCAAATTGAAACTAAAGACAAAATTCAGGGATTAACTGTGATTTTTACCCTAGAAAAGATTAAAATACAAACGCTAGTTAAAAAAATTATAAAAACAAAAGCACAATAAAAATACTTTCAAAACATGTTACTAAATGGTACCTTAAATGTTACTTTCTTGACATAAATGATTGATTAATCTGTTTACAATAGCAATTAGGTGCAACAGTAGTAAATCTTTAGCCATTAAAAAGAAAAATTAGAATTCTCAGTCAACGCTTCTAAATGCAACTTCTATCTCAATGTAGTTCACCCACACCTGCTATATAAAATATGTCCAACAAGAGTAGAGGCCTTCGCATCCATAAATTATTTTCAGTCCTGCTTTGAGCTAAGGGGAGGAACCATATCAAGCGCCTTCAGTATGAAAGCATAAGTGAAAGCATCTTCTTGGAGCTTCTCAAACCTGCATCCAACAAAAATAACATATCATCCCAGTAGCCGCAGTGGGCGGGCACTTTATATGTGCATCATGAACAAAAACCCAAGTGCTAGCAGGAGACATCATGAATGCTGAGGAATCATAATGGTATTTACGAAACTTTAACTGCCGCACCTGCTTTACCATTTCGGCACGATCAGCATACTGATTGTCCCAGCTATGCCGATGTGCACTGTCCAACAGCCAAACTTGCAATATCCAACCGAGGTGTCTCAAACAATTTAAACACCAATACCAACACACATCCAAGTATTTTAGGAGCTGTCATGCACGTTGGGGTTTGCTTAACCAGGCAAACTAATCATCTATTTCCCATAGAGAACATATTTTTTTTTTGGGGGGGGGAAGAGGGAGATTTGAACATTTGACCTCAAGAAGGCAAGATCTTCACAAGGTAAGAAGTACCATTTGACCAAAGGCCCACAGAGAACATAAGATTATGATAATTCCTCTCATCTTCAAAGGCTCTATTCTATAGCAAAACCTTTGTGTCTTCTTTTGTTTTTTTTCCCTCATCTATTAAGTAAATTTAATATGACTTGTCTTAACAATTATACATTTTATCTGTTAATAAAGAGCTATATTTTAAATTCTCAAAACTTTGTTAATCACATGTTAGCCAATGTGCAAGAAGTATCGAGCACATGTTTCTTTTTTAGTCATAGACATGGCCAAGTAAGTGTCAAATATGTGCCTAAAATTAAGTTATTATTTTTTATTTATTGGTACATCAAAAAGAATATCGGACACATGTTCAAGAGTGTTTAGAAAGTGTCAATGTTCAACTCATCTCCAACAGCAAGTGTCTGTGCTACATTTTGGTGCATGACGCAAGTCACTTTTGACTCTCATTCACCATTTCAGTGACTAAAGTACACCGGATTCTAATTTTCTGTATGTTCTGTTATTTTAGGAATTGATTACACGTAGTGATTTAATCTTAAAGACAGAAGTGGACTGGATGGATGATTAATGGGTTTAGCCAGTCCAAAAAAGAGTACNGGATTCTAATTTTCTGTATGTTCTGTTATTTTAGGAATTGATTACACGTAGTGATTAATCTTAAAGACAGAAGTGGACTGGATGGATGATTAATGGGTTTAGCCAGTCCAAAAAAGAGTCCAAGTCTTCCAGTTAATCATCTCCCCCTCTCTTCTTTTGATGGACAAGTCTTCCAGACAAACCTGGTAGTCTGAACAGCACATTCTATGATGTCTTATCTTTCTTTATGGTTATAGAAGGAAAAAAAATTTGAACCTACTTATTTAGATGCATGATGCATCTTGTCTTGGCTATGATGCCTAAGAGCCTTCTCTCCCTCCCTTTCTTCTATTCTTCCTGTCCTCTTCATTTCCAATACTTTGAAGTTTTTAGAAACACAAAACCAGATCTCAGCAGTCTATTAGTTACCAATATAATACACTAGCCGACTCTTTGTTCCCTTGACAGTGCTGAAAATTCCCCCATTCGAACCTTGTCAATCCTCAGACATTTCGCTCTTATTTCATCTCTAAAAACACCAATTCTACGGTACCCCCAACTACCCCAAAACTAAATTATTCAATCCTAGAAACCCCTTTACTGCTCCCACCTTAAAGTAAACCTTTAAAGGATCTANAAAAAAAAAAAAAGTTTAAAATTATAGTTAATCCCTAAACTTTACTTTTGGTTTTAGTTTTATCGTGAACTTTCAATTGTCTCAATTTAATCCCTCAACTATCAATTTTTTCTATTTAAGTCCGTGAATCAATTTTCACCGTTCAATCAACTAAAGACTAGCCCAATTTGATCCATTTCAGCATTTATCCATCAGTAGAACTGTCTCAATCAAGTTGATAGTTGAGAGACAAAATTAGGACAATTGAAAGTTTAGGGATCAAATTGAAACTAAAGACAAAATTCAGGGATTAACTGTGATTTTTACCCTAGAAAAGATTAAAATACAAACGCTAGTTAAAAAAATTATAAAAACAAAAGCACAATAAAAATACTTTCAAAACATGTTACTAAATGGTACCTTAAATGTTACTTTCTTGACATAAATGATTGATTAATCTGTTTACAATAGCAATTAGGTGCAACAGTAGTAAATCTTTAGCCATTAAAAAGAAAAATTAGAATTCTCAGTCAACGCTTCTAAATGCAACTTCTATCTCAATGTAGTTCACCCACACCTGCTATATAAAATATGTCCAACAAGAGTAGAGGCCTTCGCATCCATAAATTATTTTCAGTCCTGCTTTGAGCTAAGGGGAGGAACCATATCAAGCGCCTTCAGTATGAAAGCATAAGTGAAAGCATCTTCTTGGAGCTTCTCAAACCTGCATCCAACAAAAATAACATATCATCCCAGTAGCCGCAGTGGGCGGGCACTTTATATGTGCATCATGAACAAAAACCCAAGTGCTAGCAGGAGACATCATGAATGCTGAGGAATCATAATGGTATTTACGAAACTTTAACTGCCGCACCTGCTTTACCATTTCGGCACGATCAGCATACTGATTGTCCCAGCTATGCCGATGTGCACTGTCCAACAGCCAAACTTGCAATATCCAACCGAGGTGTCTCAAACAATTTAAACACCAATACCAACACACATCCAAGTATTTTAGGAGCTGTCATGCACGTTGGGGTTTGCTTAACCAGGCAAACTAATCATCTATTTCCCATAGAGAACATATTTTTTTTTTGGGGGGGGGAAGAGGGAGATTTGAACATTTGACCTCAAGAAGGCAAAATCTTCACAAGGTAAGAAGTACCATTTGACCAAAAGCCCACAGAGAACATAAGATTATGATAATTCCTCTCATCTTCAAAGGCTCTATTCTATAGCAAAACCTTTGTGTCTTCTTTTGTTTTTTTTCCCTCATCTATTAAGTAAATTTAATATGACTTGTCTTAACAATTATACATTTTATCTGTTAATAAAGAGCTATATTTTAAATTCTCAAAACTTTGTTAATCACATGTTAGCCAATGTGCAAGAAGTATCGAGCACATGTTTCTTTTTTAGTCATAGACATGGCCAAGTAAGTGTCAAATATGTGCCTAAAATTAAGTTATTATTTTTTATTTATTGGTACATCAAAAAGAATATCGGACACATGTTCAAGAGTGTTTAGAAAGTGTCAATGTTCAACTCATCTCCAACAGCAAGTGTCTGTGCTACATTTTGGTGCATGACGCAAGTCACTTTTGACTCTCATTCACCATTTCAGTGACTAAAGTACACCGGATTCTAATTTTCTGTATGTTCTGTTATTTTAGGAATTGATTACACGTAGTGATTAATCTTAAAGACAGAAGTGGACTGGATGGATGATTAATGGGTTTAGCCAGTCCAAAAAAGAGTCCAAGTCTTCCAGTTAATCATCTCCCCCTCTCTTCTTTTGATGGACAAGTCTTCCAGACAAACCTGGTAGTCTGAACAGCACATTCTATGATGTCTTATCTTTCTTTATGGTTATAGAAGGAAAAAAAATTTGAACCTACTTATTTAGATGCATGATGCATCTTGTCTTGGCTATGATGCCTAAGAGCCTTCTCTCCCTCCCTTTCTTCTATTCTTCCTGTCCTCTTCATTTCCAATACTTTGAAGTTTTTAGAAACACAAAACCAGATCTCAGCAGTCTATTAGTTACCAATATAATACACTAGCCGACTCTTTGTTCCCTTGACAGTGCTGAAAATTCCCCCATTCGAACCTTGTCAATCCTCAGACATTTCGCTCTTATTTCATCTCTAAAAACACCAATTCTACGGTACCCCCAACTACCCCAAAACTAAATTATTCAATCCTAGAAACCCCTTTACTGCTCCCACCTTAAAGTAAACCTTTAAAGGATCTAATCTTTATATCATTCCTCTGGTTCTGTTCAGCTCCATGAGAATCTATACAATCACATTGATGCCCCAGCTGACAGTAGGACACTACACCACTTCCCTTGGAGTGCCAAGATATACCCATCAATTCAGTAGTTAGCAGTACTATTTTTCTTCATTTTCTTTCTTCCCTCGTTCTATCAATCACTACGAATGAGTAGGGTGATGTACCTAATAGAAGAATCTAACTGCAAACGAGAAAAGAAAAATGACGAAGAAACTTACTTTCAAGAAAACAATGATGCTTATTCTATTAGAAAGAATGTTGCAGACTACATTATTTGTTGCCTAATGGATAGTCCATCCATTGATGATGACCAAGCATCTCGTTCAATCACAGCCCAAAATGAGACTGTTACCCCCCAGGACTGATGGATCTGCAAAGTACAGACCAGTACATAGGATAAAGATTCAACCAGACACAACAAATTTTGGAATAACAAGAAATGGACATGAATAGGACATGCTACAACTAAATATGTTCGACACATTTAACTATACAGTTTATCAATGTTTATTGAAATAATCATCCATTTCTCATAGAAAGCGTACATAACTACGATAATTCCTCTCATCTTCCGAAGCTCTCTTCTATAGTAAAAGCTGTCCTTTTTCTTTTTTGTCAACGTTTAGTAAATTTTAATATGACTTGTCTTAAAAATTATCCATTTTCCATGTTACAAAATAGCTATATCTTAAATTTTCAAACTTTGTTAATCAAACATTAGCAAATGTGCAAAACGTGTTGGGCACGTGTTTCTTTTTTAGTAATAGACAAAGCTTAAGAAGTGTCGGTCTCGTGGCCAAATATGTATCAAATACATGCCCAAAATTATGTTATAATTTTGATATAATGGATAAGTAAAAGAGAATATAGGACACATGTTCGAGAACCATATCTGACTTACAGTGTCCGTGCTACTTTTTTTTTTTTTGGGCTTTTTTTTCAAATGGAACATTTATTTGCAAGCGCAATTATAAGGTAATCAACACTTAAATCAGACTTTTTACCCATGCTTGCCATCACTGAATAGACTCTCCTATGTTGGTAGACAAACATAGTGAAGCCCAGTCCTGAAAAGGAAAAAGAAGGGAAAAAACTGACTCATACAACCAAGAGTTTAAATGAATATTTTGCAACCCAAGTAATAGTTCATCAATTGGGCACAAACATCACTCTAGGGGCCTTTTCATTCATTCACCATCTCAAATCAAAGCAATACTGTTGATTGGCCCTGCTTTTCCCATTTTCCTTCTTTCCCTTGTTCTTTCCTCAACCATGCCATCATAAGACTAACAAAGCTCACATGCCAAAGAAAGAGCATACACAACTTATTCCTCTGAATATCAACGAAGATATTGTTGATGCACCCTTTTGGCGCACTGAAAGGGCTCCGTCTTAGATTCTGCATACAATATTTATCAACCAAGGACCAATAATTAAAGGGTTCCATCTTAGGCTGCCCTACCAAAGTTAAGCATATTGGAAGGCCTAAGGATTCTCGATTGTCGCCATCTTTGAACCATTGCAAAATGTTGAAAGTTTTGCTTACTTTGGGAATAGAATCGCCCTTTACACATGGGTAGGCAAAGCAGTTCACAACACTCTACCACTCCACATGACTACGTATAGAACTAAACAGACTTATGGAAAAACATAAACACCCACAGAAGGAAATGATCCATGAAATCAAGTTTTGTGTAAACCCAGAGATATAGATCATTACCTTCCTGACTTTGAGCAGTGTCCTGCTCCAAGTTCACAATTGAACAGCAGTACATTATCGTCAGTCTTTGTATCCCTCAACTTTGCCACAAACTTAGCGGGTTCCGAGTACATAACCCGTGAATCTGTCACAATAAACCAGAGTAAGGATACAACATAAATGAATTCCGGCATTAAACGCAAGATCTTTTCTAATATGCAAGCCACGTTAGAAGGTTAGCACTTGTTGCCAATAAATCCTACCCAGTAAAATATCTTAACAAAGTTGGTTGGATTGAATATTATTCACCCGTTTCATTCTACAAGGTAAGCAGAAATGACTTAGCTACTTTCCACAGATATGCACCTGCACTGGAGAATTATTCACTTGTGTACCATATTATATTTTCAAACAAAATATTTAGTCTGGGAAAAATTCATATAATAGTGCAACAGTAACAGCATCATGAAACTTCTTTCGAATGCTAGGTGGGATACATAAGATGAACAACATGTTACCCTCTACAAACCAACAAGGGTATGGAAAGATAAAGGATAGTTTTCAAAGCATGGAATTTTTTTCCAACTTTGTATCTATGACATGAACATGGCATAACTGCATAATCCTATGCTGTTTATAAGGAATGGGTCAAATTGAACTCAGCACCCTTCAATGTTTGCCCAAAAAAAAACTCCACCTCTTCAAGTTATGAAAATTACACTCCGCTTCATGAGGCTGTGAAGTCAACTAAATACCCTCCCGAGATGTCAGTTGACTGCTGGTTGACTCAATAGAGTGTACAGGTTTTGCTATTGAGAGCCTAAAAATGCCAGTATTACCATCTTCAAAGTCAACTATAGGTGCAAAGCTAAATGGTCAGGGATTATTCTGAGGTTCTAGCAATTTGTCAGGGACCATTGTCCAAGCCATTGTTGGAAGTCGTGCACAATCTGGAACTGTTAGAGCAGCGCAGTTAAGGATCATGTATCAGGATGCTATTGGAGAGATCGTGCAATGGGACAGCAAAGGTTGTTGGTCTACAAACAACCTTTTTTTGGAGCTGGGCTGTCAGGGATCATTTTGTTGTATCACAACTCACAGTGGCAGGGGAGAGTATTGTTGCAGCTTGTTTCTTAAGGATAAGGCTTACTTGGTAGTACCCAATCACGATGGAGATCTCCAATTTGCTGGCTCAGTAGACAAGACTAACAATCAAACAGACAAGCATGGAAACATATTTGAAAGGGCTACATTTGTGGGAGATCACTGGACGTAGCGACACTATGCCACCTTCTGCAGAAAATGTCGAAGGACTCTGAAAGTGGTAATATTTTACAAAGGTAAAGTTTCCCTCCCGTGAGATCTATAAATTAGATCCTTCTGCTAAAATTAATAAATGGACGAGAGGATTAATTACACATGGGTCGAGACCTGATTATTGGGGATGCATCACAACAATTGCAGGCTGGCCAACTCAACCTTCACTTGAGGAATTAGAAAATTTATTAGCCAACCAAGAAACTTTTGGCCAAGCAGTTGGTCAGGGTCTCACTAAAGAGAGAAGAGGAAGCGCTCGGGAGCGGCAATAGAAACGGACAACCTGAAGGACAGAAATGCACTATCTCAAAGAAAGAAGAAGATGAAAAGTTGAAGTGGTAGCAAGATTAGAGTCCTCAAAATAGGAGGAGCTTAAACTAGCAGCAATAGAGATAAATAAAAATTCTCAAGAATCAAAAAATGCAACATAGAATGCTTTAAATGCGGCAAGAAATGTCATTATGCGAGAGAGAGAGTAGTGGTTAAAGAGGATGCCAGCTGAAAGTTATTTGATGACATTAAATAGTCGCCAAGATGAGAATGGTAAACAGTGGGACTTCCAAGCATCTTTGGCAATGTTCAAGTCCCTTGATGTGATTCCTAAGAAGAAGAACGACAGAGAAGACTGGAACTTCAATCCTCTCAGTGTTTAAACTTCGAAGTTACTGGTGCAGATTTGCTCAGAAGAAAAGACACAAGCACAAGAGAAATCTAAACCATCAGTAGTCAAGCAGTTGTGTATACTATTGTGACTGAGCATGACAATTTGGTTCTTTCGACAAAATCTAAGCTTGGAGAAATCAACCATGATGATGATTGGAATATTATCAATTTGGGATCCACATCTGTGAGTGGGTTACAAAATGAAGGGTAGTGATATTGCGACTCCACAATTGGTTGCTATAATAGAGCGATAAATATACTAATTGATGAAGACACATCATGGTGGTTGTCACAAGAGGCAGTACTGCAACACTACAAAGATTCAGAGGATCAGTTGCATGAGAAGCTAGGAGAGATAAGACAAGAAGAAGAAATACCTCCCAATTCAGATGTCACTCAAGAGCGGACATCTACAGTAAGCAATGGTGAGTTGGAGCACCACAAAGGGGATCAACCAGAGAACGGAAGTTCGAACCTGAAATATGTAAATATAGTTCTAGAGCGAAAGAAGAAAACATAAGAGAACCAGCAATCTTTAAAAGGCATCCCAAAGCCTGGAGTGGAAAAAGGTGCTTCAAGGAGAAGTAAAGATGCAAGTAGTGTAACTTGGTACAAACACGGAACACGGGATCGGGGAGAGTCCTTTTGAGGAGTGCGGAGAAACAACATTGTCTCTTTCTCCATAATATACACTCTTCTATCACTATCCTTTTCTCTATATCTTTCTCTCCCTCCATGTCCATATTTCTCTTCTTATTGTACATCTCATCTTTCACTAGAATTTCCTGTTTCTTTAGAAGCTTATTCTGAAAGATTTCAAGAAGCTTCCAAGTCGGTGGAGAACTAACCTTTTTTACGTCAGTAAGAAAACTATTAGTAGAGGACTTGGGGGCTTCTCTTGGCAGTGATGTGAGGACCCAAAAAATCCTTTTTGAGTGATTGGTGTCCAGGTTGTATATCTCGAGTAGTGTCCACCGAGTGTGACCGATGCAAGTGTGCTCCTGTGAAAGCCTTAGTGTCACATGAGTGCTGTTTACTTTGAGTTGATAGTGTGTCAAGATATCTTATAGTGAGACTCGTGTAATTGTCCTGTTCAGTCACTAATGTATGAGTTTTTTGTAGGCAATGCAATATTAAAGTTTTTGATCAGTCTGCCCCAACTAAACAGTTTCTGAATAGATTATTTTGATTGGGGAGGGCTATCACCATCACCGCTTTGTTTAGAATGTGTGTGTTTGTGTCTGAAGGAGATAGAGACCCACAGAGAGAAGGAATGGGGTGGAGGTGAAGGTAGCCTCCAGAGAGAGAGAGAGAGAGAGAGGACAGGATGAAGGTGGTGCAAGCAATGGCTGCTGGGTAACAAAGAAAGAGAAAGGGGTGGGGGATCGTGGTTAGAGATTCTGTCTCAATATTACTATCTTTTTTGTTCCTTTTGGGTCTTACCAATTTGTTTTTTATCCATGGGTTCGCCAAATGAAAAAGGGTAAGATAGCATTAACAAACTCTATTATCCATCTCATTCAACAAACTCTAAAGGGGGAAGGGTCTTCATAATTTCCAGAACCTCTAGGGCGAGAGTAGTTTTGGTCAACCTCCTGGCTACTGAATGTAATTTGACCTAGGCCATTACTTAATAAATACAAAAAGACGCACCCCTTCTCTCTCAAAAAACTAAACCAAGAATGCATTGTTGATTAATCAAGCAAAACAATATTCAGTTTAAAATGACCATATCAAAAAAAACACATTTTTTTATTCTATAGCAGTAGTGGTAGGGTAGGAACTCCCGTGGAACAATTGGGTTTTGGGTCAATATCAGACGAATGTATAATGCAGCCAAGTAAAGAAAAGGACTTCCTTACTTTTCCTTCATAGTAGTCTTAATGACTATTAGTTTGAAGCCTTATGAAACAAGTTTTGCTTGGCACTCGGTTCCTTCGTCTTAAATCAAGTTCAGTTTACCTTTTTTAGCAAGATTGTGAAAGTCACATAGAAGTATGTCTCTGAAAATGATGCTACTGCTCATACCGTAGTTTCATTTTGGATTATTACCTGTGCAAAAGGTGCTAAATTGACATTTGACACAGTGACGGGCTACAATTTCTGAGAACACCTAGTTGATTCANCTTTTTTTTTTTTTGGGCTTTTTTTTCAAATGGAACATTTATTTGCAAGCGCAATTATGAGGTAATCAACACTTAAATCAGACTTTTTACCCATGCTTGCCATCACTGAATAGACTCTCCTATGTTGGTAGACAAACATAGTGAAGCCCAGTCCTGAAAAGGAAAAAGAAGGGAAAAAACTGACTCATACAACCAAGAGTTTAAATGAATATTTTGCAACCCAAGTAATAGTTCATCAATTGGGCACGAACATCACTCTAGGGGCCTTTTCATTCATTCACCATCTCAAATCAAAGCAATACTGTTGATTGGCCCTGCTTTTCCCATTTTCCTTCTTTCCCTTGTTCTTTCCTCAACCATGCCATCATAAGACTAACAAAGCTCACATGCCAAAGAAAGAGCATACACAACTTATTCCTCTGAATATCAACGAAGATATTGTTGATGCACCCTTTTGGCGCACTGAAAGGGCTCCGTCTTAGATTCTGCATACAATATTTATCAACCAAGGACCAATAATTAAAGGGTTCCATCTTAGGCTGCCCTACCAAAGTTAAGCATATTGGAAGGCCTAAGGATTCTCGATTGTCGCCATCTTTGAACCATTGCAAAATGTTGAAAGTTTTGCTTACTTTGGGAATAGAATCGCCCTTTACACATGGGTAGGCAAAGCAGTTCACAACACTCTACCACTCCACATGACTACGTATAGAACTAAACAGACTTATGGAAAAACATAAACACCCACAGAAGGAAATGATCCATGAAATCAAGTTTTGTGTAAACCCAGAGATATAGATCATTACCTTCCTGACTTTGAGCAGTGTCCTGCTCCAAGTTCACAATTGAACAGCAGTACATTATCGTCAGTCTTTGTATCCCTCAACTTTGCCACAAACTTAGCGGGTTCCGAGTACATAACCCGTGAATCTGTCACAATAAACCAGAGTAAGGATACAACATAAATGAATTCCGGCATTAAACGCAAGATCTTTTCTAATATGCAAGCCACGTTAGAAGGTTAGCACTTGTTGCCAATAAATCCTACCCAGTAAAATATCTTAACAAAGTTGGTTGGATTGAATATTATTCACCCGTTTCATTCTACAAGGTAAGCAGAAATGACTTAGCTACTTTCCACAGATATGCACCTGCACTGGAGAATTATTCACTTGTGTACCATATTATATTTTCAAACAAAATATTTAGTCTGGGAAAAATTCATATAATAGTGCAACAGTAACAGCATCATGAAACTTCTTTCGAATGCTAGGTGGGATACATAAGATGAACAACATGTTACCCTCTACAAACCAACAAGGGTATGGAAAGATAAAGGATAGTTTTCAAAGCATGGAATTTTTTTCCAACTTTGTATCTATGACATGAACATGGCATAACTGCATAATCCTATGCTGTTTATAAGGAATGGGTCAAATTGAACTCAGCACCCTTCAATGTTTGCCCAAAAAAAAACTCCACCTCCTCAAGTTATGAAAATTACACTCCGCTTCATGAGGCTGTGAAGTCAACTAAATACCCTCCCGAGATGTCAGTTGACTGCTGGTTGACTCAATAGAGTGTACAGGTTTTGCTATTGAGAGCCTAAAAATGCCAGTATTACCATCTTCAAAGTCAACTATAGGTGCAAAGCTAAATGGTCAGGGATTATTCTGAGGTTCTAGCAATTTGTCAGGGACCATTGTCCAAGCCATTGTTGGAAGTCGTGCACAATCTGGAACTGTTAGAGCAGCGCAGTTAAGGATCATGTATCAGGATGCTATTGGAGAGATCGTGCAATGGGACAGCAAAGGTTGTTGGTCTACAAACAACCTTTTTTTGGAGCTGGGCTGTCAGGGATCATTTTGTTGTATCACAACTCACAGTGGCAGGGGAGAGTATTGTTGCAGCTTGTTTCTTAAGGATAAGGCTTACTTGGTAGTACCCAATCACGATGGAGATCTCCAATTTGCTGGCTCAGTAGACAAGACTAACAATCAAACAGACAAGCATGGAAACATATTTGAAAGGGCTACATTTGTGGGAGATCACTGGACGTAGCGACACTATGCCACCTTCTGCAGAAAATGTCGAAGGACTCTGAAAGTGGTAATATTTTACAAAGGTAAAGTTTCCCTCCCGTGAGATCTATAAATTAGATCCTTCTGCTAAAATTAATAAATGGACGAGAGGATTAATTACACATGGGTCGAGACCTGATTATTGGGGATGCATCACAACAATTGCAGGCTGGCCAACTCAACCTTCACTTGAGGAATTAGAAAATTTATTAGCCAACCAAGAAACTTTTGGCCAAGCAGTTGGTCAGGGTCTCACTAAAGAGAGAAGAGGAAGCGCTCGGGAGCGGCAATAGAAACGGACAACCTGAAGGACAGAAATGCACTATCTCAAAGAAAGAAGAAGATGAAAAGTTGAAGTGGTAGCAAGATTAGAGTCCTCAAAATAGGAGGAGCTTAAACTAGCAGCAATAGAGATAAATAAAAATTCTCAAGAATCAAAAAATGCAACATAGAATGCTTTAAATGCGGCAAGAAATGTCATTATGCGAGAGAGAGAGTAGTGGTTAAAGAGGATGCCAGCTGAAAGTTATTTGATGACATTAAATAGTCGCCAAGATGAGAATGGTAAACAGTGGGACTTCCAAGCATCTTTGGCAATGTTCAAGTCCCTTGATGTGATTCCTAAGAAGAAGAACGACAGAGAAGACTGGAACTTCAATCCTCTCAGTGTTTAAACTTCGAAGTTACTGGTGCAGATTTGCTCAGAAGAAAAGACACAAGCACAAGAGAAATCTAAACCATCAGTAGTCAAGCAGTTGTGTATACTATTGTGACTGAGCATGACAATTTGGTTCTTTCGACAAAATCTAAGCTTGGAGAAATCAACCATGATGATGATTGGAATATTATCAATTTGGGATCCACATCTGTGAGTGGGTTACAAAATGAAGGGTAGTGATATTGCGACTCCACAATTGGTTGCTATAATAGAGCGATAAATATACTAATTGATGAAGACACATCATGGTGGTTGTCACAAGAGGCAGTACTGCAACACTACAAAGATTCAGAGGATCAGTTGCATGAGAAGCTAGGAGAGATAAGACAAGAAGAAGAAATACCTCCCAATTCAGATGTCACTCAAGAGCGGACATCTACAGTAAGCAATGGTGAGTTGGAGCACCACAAAGGGGATCAACCAGAGAACGGAAGTTCGAACCTGAAATATGTAAATATAGTTCTAGAGCGAAAGAAGAAAACATAAGAGAACCAGCAATCTTTAAAAGGCATCCCAAAGCCTGGAGTGGAAAAAGGTGCTTCAAGGAGAAGTAAAGATGCAAGTAGTGTAACTTGGTACAAACACGGAACACGGG